CCCCCCCCCCCCCCCCCCCCCCGCAGGTCATATGCTACTAAGTTTTCCACTCAGTCTCATCTTCAGATGGAACCAGAGTAAAAGCAAAGTCATCTACATGGCAATTTTACCATTTGTCATTGACTGGTATTTACATAGGGAAAACGTGAGCTTAATAGGAATAGTGCTCACAAGAAAAATAATAGGAATAACACTATATGGAAGACTACTTTTTTCTTTTTTTGTCATAAAGTAAGCTGAGAAGGGGCTCATGTGGTAGAGTTTTATGAGTTTTATCATTTGTAGACTTCGGAACATAATGATTGAATAAAATTGATTCTTTAAACTTTTTTTCAACAAATGCTACTGCTTATGCAAGGGAAAATTATAAATTAATGACTTTTTAAAGCCTACTATTCTTGGGCTCTATTTTATCAGGCCATTTTACCCTAAATATTTTAAATTGCTCTTAAATTCATTTTCTTATCCAAACTTACCAATGTCATCATCTGTCCTGTCAATTGGATCCTTCTCTAGGCAGTCTCTCACAATGTCCCTGCTCATCAGAGGATCTGATGCCCTCTCAATGTCTTCTTCATCATCATCGTCCTCAGAATCCACTGCTGTTTCTGGCAACCCACTCAGGTCCATATCACCAGCCTCGCTTTCTGTGGCCTTAAAAGAGACCAAAATAATTTTTTTTATTTTTTATTTTTTTAACGTTTATTTATTTTTGACACAGAGAGAGACAGAGCATGAACGGGGGAGGGTCAGAGAGAGGGAGACACAGAATTGAAACAGGCTCCAGGCTCTGAGCTGTCAGTACAGAGCCCGACGCGGGGCTCGAACTCACAGACCGCGAGATCATGACCTGAGCCAAAGTCGGCCGCTTAACCGACTGAGCCACCCAGGCGCCCCAAGACCAAAATAATTTTTAAAAATTATTTTAAGCAAGTCTTTTTGTACCCAAAAGAAATAAGAGCAAGTCTAGTTTGAAATATAATTTTAGTATATTGATTTGTCTGTAACTAAGCATGTATTCAATATCAACAAATATTTATGCACTAGGCACTATGTAAGAAGAATCACTTATAGAAAACAGGAGTGATTTAATCTCCTATTAAACTTTTAGTTGGGATTAATGATCTTATCTCAAAAATTCTGATTTCTTATCTGAGCTGTCATATGCTCCTGAAACAGTAGAATAAAGAAGAAAAAGACAGTGTTTGTTTTCACTCCATTTTTCAAAGAGAATGGCTTAAGCTAAGAGCCTAAGGGTAATAACTGATTCTGAGCAGTTCCTTCTCCAAAAGAACAGGTGTGGATTTATTAATGCCAAGAAGACTCAACAACTTCTTTCCTATTAGGTGGTCTTTATGGAAAAGTGAAGCATAAATCAAAGATAACTTTATAAGTATGTGAACAAAACATTAACATTTACTTTGATTATACCAATGTCCACTCTCCAATTATAAATCACCAAAAAATACAAAAGACCATATGCCTACAGGTAACACATTCTTCATTCCTCAACAAGGTGACCTTATCACCAATCAAATTTCAAGTAATCAAGTACTTAAATGTTAGTCATTAGAGTCACGAACTTCAAAATGATCTTTTCTCCTGGGCTGTCTCAAGGCTAGGACAGCTATCCTATTCAGGTCATTCTATAGCCTGCTGTGATTATCATCTCCACAATATATATGAATGTTATCATATCAACCTTACTTGACATTATACCCAAAATTTACTAACTGCTTAAGCTATGAAAGTCTTGAACATCACGTTTTGCCAGATAAAATATTAAACTCTTAAAAAGTCTGTTATAAAACCATGAACTTCCTAGAAAACATGTATTATAAAGTTCACTAACTTCAAATAACTTTTAGTTCACGTGGTTTTCAAAGGCCGTCTTATTTTTAAGAATAGGCAAAAACATTTATTAAAAGTGAAAGATAAAAATATAAACTGCTGAACTTCCTCCTCCTCCTCCTCCTCATCCAACACCCAATATTTACAATGTGCCAGGAACTGCTCTGTTTTATATGTATTAACTCATTTAATCTTCAAAACTATCCTATGAAGTGTTATTACTGACTTTTATTATTCTTCAAACATTCTCGTAAACGGAAATTATTGCAGAATCAAGATTAGAACCCTGGGGGGCACCTGGGTGGCTCAGTCAGTTAAGTGTCTGACTTTGGCTCAGGGCGTGGGCTCAGGGCGTGATCTCATGGTTCGTGAGCTCGAGCCCTGCATCTGGCTCCCCACTTTGTATCCTCCGTCTCCCTCTCCCTGCCCCTCCCCTGCTTGCACAGCGCGCTCTCTCTCTCTCTCTCAAAAATAAACAAACATTAAAAAAAAAAAAAAGATTAGAACCTAGGAATTCTGTCTCTACAGTCTTAACCACAACCTAATCTATCTCTTTACAACAGATATTACATATGAATGTGGCTTATATAGGGATCTATACTTTTTTTTTAAATTTAACTGGGTATTTAAAGAAAAATTTTATCATTTTCTTATCAAAGTTTTACTTTTCTCAAGTCTTGGTTTATACTGCAGAACATAAGATTTAATCCTACCTTTGAAGCAATACAAACAGGTATTAATATTTTATAAGTTTAACAAAATAATTTTAATGACATTTTTAGTTCTTTAGGTACAATTTCCTAAACTAAAATATATACATTATAAAAAAAAAAATCTAAGGGGAAAGTAATAAAGAATACTTAATGAAGACAGAATAATTAAAAATGGAAAACCTAATGTCTACAAAAGCTCTTTAAATAATGGCCTTAGTAAATACTACTGCTTGGGTTAAGACCATTATCAGCAGAGCAGTGGGAGAGCAGTAAGGCCTTGTAGGCTTGCGGTTTTCAAGTACTCGATAAAACATATGTAGCAGTTATTTTACTTTTAGTTGAATTAACACTTCACTGGAGCCTTTGTGGCATTTGATATTTCCTCAGTTTGTTCATTTTCTTGATATCCTTTAAAAAATGAAAATAATCTCTTAAGAACTGTGTTCAGAATACAATATATGGAATCACTTTTGATTTCAGTAAATCATAGAGCTTTTGGCATTGTTCTGAGACTATTACTAGTTTTTTGGGGTTTTTTTTTGAGACTATTACTACTTAGCTATAATATACATCTACATCTATATTAGGCTATCCATGTGGAAGGGAAATTAATTTAGGACAGGAATTATTTGCCTAACTGAATTAACTGTGGCACACTCAGAAACACATCTCCTAATTTAAATTCAGAATTCACAGAATTGTCTCTAGATTCTAGAATGAAACGGAAGTAGAACTTGACATGATGTATTATGCCAAGCCTGTGATCAGAAATTAGGCCAATACTGTTATTATCACAGCCTTATTTCTGAAGTCTAGAAATGTGACAATTTGCTAATGTTTGCTATGTTTACATTTTCACCCCAGTTTCACCTTAACATTGAAGATTATTATTCATCACCTTATATTTTCAAATATACAATCAGCCCTCTGTATGCACATTCTTTAATATTAGCTGAAATTGAAGAAGGGACTACTAGAGACAGAAATAAAAAATAAAAATAAAAAACTTCTAAATAATATAGTTATATAGCTTATAGTGTTTCTTTAAATTTTAAACATCTAAAATACAGTTAAGAGATACAAAATATATTCTGTAACATTCCAAAGAAATCATTACTGCAATTTAAATGAATTATATGTAAGTGTTAAATAAAACAAAAAGACTCCTTCTTCTTCTTCTTCTTCTTCTTCTTCTTCTTCTTCTTCTTCTTCTTTTTTAAATAAAGTAAGCTCTAAGCCCAACATGGGGCTTGAACTCAAGAACCCCATGCTCTATTGACTAAGCCAGCCAGGTGTCCCAGAACAAAAAGCCTTTTAAATGTGAATTGGATTAATCTCTCCACAACTGAACCTTCCACCCCATTTGTGTTAACGATCATTAGTTGTTTTCTATCTCTGTTATGTGTATTCCATTCTTAATTCATTCATGAAATAATGCTCACTAAACCAGTAACTTAGATTATTTTTCTAAATAAATATCCATTATATTTTAAAACACTACAGAATTCCTTTCTTTAATTTTTTTTTTTTTTTTTTTTTTTTTTTTTTTTTTTTTTTTTTTTTTAGTGAGCTGTAGGCCCAACATGGGGCTTGAACTCACAACACTGAGATCAAGAGTTGGAGGCTCTACTGACTGAGCCAGGCAGGTGCCCTTCCAGAATTTCTTTTAATAATAAATTTTAAATAGAACTTGATAAAAATTTTTTTAGGAGTCTACTAATGCCATAATACTACTGCTTCATGAACAATAAAACTTTTGGAGACTGGAGTGAAATGCTTACTGAACCAACACCAACTGGTCTACAGGAGAAGTGTACTAAACTTAGGAGGAGGGCCTAGAACCCAGTAGTTACTGAATTTACATTTGCTAAATAAACAAACTCAGGGTTTAGTAATTCAGATCTCAGCTCTACCATTTATTACGTGACTTTAGCAAAATTACTTAACCTCTATGACTCCAGTGTTATCAGTAGAGTTATATCCTCCCACTCATACCACTGTTCTTGGATTGAATAAGGGGAAAGAAAAGAACGCCAATTACAGGCCACATCAAAAGACAGTCCCTTCCTCAAGGGAACACATTTTTTATATCAGCATTTGTGTATCTTTACCTCTCCCCATCGGACCAGCGAAGCTTACGCACGATTTGTACTGGCAGAATTTGTCAAAAAACCAAAGCTCTGTTAAATAATGCAACCCCTGACTTATTGTAAAAAAAACTGTCACTCAGACTAATTGCAACCATTTAATTCTGGCTAAATGGCTCATACAACAATTATAAGAATAGTGATCCTATACTGAATGACTACCATACACATAAAAATCTTCACATCAATTCAGCAAATTAGGATTATTACCCCTGCTTTTCAGATGAGAAAACACTAGGAAAATCAAATAAACTGTTCAATGCAAACAAAACCAAACCTAGTAATTGTGTTGGGTCTTAAACTCAGGTCTGACGAATACAAACTACTAAATGATTTGCACTATAATACTTTGCCCAGTTTTCTCAATAGACTATCTTCATAAAGAAAATCACTAAATCATTAATCATCAGGGAAATGCAAATAAAAACCACAATGAAATATCACCTTATACCTGTCAGAATAGCTAGAATCACAAAGACAACAACAAAACAAAACAAAACAAAACAAAACAAAACAAAACAAAACAAAACAAAACAAAATGAAACAACAAGTTCTGGCAAGGATGTGGAGAAAAAGGAACGCTTATGCACTGTTGGTGAGAATGTAAATTGGTACAGCCACTGTGCAAAACAGGATAGAGGTTTCTTAACAAATTAAAAATAGAAATACTATATGATCCAATAATTCTACTGGGTATTTACCCAAAGAAAATGAAAACACTAAGGGGATATGTACCCCATATTTATTGCAGCACTATTTACAACAGCCAAGATATGGAAGCAATCCAAGTGTATATCGATAGATGAGTGGATAAAGATGTGGTGTACACACACATGCATGCACACGCACACAAGATTATTATTCAGCCATAAAAAGGAATGAGATCTTGCCATTTGCAACAACGTGGGTGGACCTAGAGGGTAAGTGAAAGGACCCAGACCTA